TGCCACACGCTACTCCCTGTCCAGCTCCTCCCACCCCTGTACCTAGCGCAGCAAGAGGTAGCGGTGAGTGTCTTCCTTTTCTTCTTCTTCTCCCAACTAAACTGTGCTTTCTGAGGATGTCTGGGGCTGCCATTTTCTGATTCTCTAAAACTGTACTATCCAGTGTGGGAGCCAATAGCCTCATGTGGCTGTTTAGATTATTTAAAATTAAATAAAACGAACATTGAGTTATTTATGCTAATCACATTTCAAATATTCCATAGGTCACATATGACTGTGACTTCCGTACTAGACAGCACAGGTACAGCATTTCCATCACTGTGGAAAACGGATCTGACAAAGGACTTCTGTGGCACTTCAGGGTGCCAGGGTACCTGGGAGATAGATAGAGTCTGGGTGCTGAAATTTCTGAGACATTTTGCCACTTTGTGGAGGACACAGGACAAAGTGTTCTAAAATTGGTGGTGTCCCCTTGACGTTCATGCTATAAGGCAACTCTCCAAGCGCTACTCCAGAGTGGCTCTCAGATCTAAGCGTGTGCGGCAGAATTGGAGAGCGCTTCAGACGCAGGGTGCCAGGCACTCTTCCCTGAGTTTCTGACTCAGGAGCTCTAAGGCAGGCCTGGGGATTGGCATTTCTAACAGTCTCTCCAGTAATGCTCATGCGCTCGGTCTAAGGACCGGCACTGGGAGAACCACTGCTCGAGCACAGCACTTGAAATGTGCTGCAACGTGGGATCGGTGCTGTGATTGTCCCCATTTTCATTTGGGAATGGGAAAACTTAGAGCGCTTCGCTAGCATGCCCAGGATCCCAGGGTGGGAGGCTCAGTTGGGATCAGAACCGGGTATGTGGACACCAGAGTCTGTGTCAGAGTCCAGATGTAAGAACTTTTGGAGAAAAACCTGTAGGCAGAGCGAGTGGTTTGCTCAAGCATGTGTACGTGTGTGTATTTGAAGGTGTTAACAATGGGGAGGGGGTGGGGGGGGGCTTTTTTCCCACGGATGCTAGGCCAAGCATCTGTGGAAAACTCCCCCTGGGAAGGTTAATGAGTGGAATTAGCCTTTTGGGGCACTGGTGCACATCTGTCACTTGGATCCTTTTGAACCATGTCGTAGAGAGCATCCAGGAATGCCCAGGAGATTGCCTCAGCTAACTCAAGCAGGGAGTGTATTTGCTACATTAATTGGTCTTTGTTCTCTCATTTCTAGTCGATGCAACTTCAAAGCCTTGTTCTGTCCTCTGATTATCTCTTTGGTATAAATCTTCAAGACTGATCTGCAGCTTTTCTCTAGAAAATAACTCCTCAAGGCTTCTTGGTCTAGCCTCACTAGACCTGTATTCCCCTTCTTCTTACAGAGACGTTACCTTCTTACTCTAAGAAATACCAAAAGTGTTTTTATCAAATGCCTCCTCCTTGAGAAACTAAGTTCCTTGAGGACAGTCTAAGCTAGGAAAAAAGTGGTAGTGTAAAACAATGTCAGAAGAGGAAGGTGACCCTTCTCACGCCCGTTTTTAGTGTACCCTCTCCAACCCCACACACAGCCCTGCTTTTTTCCTAAACACCAAGAAAGACTCTTTCTTGACTAGCCTACAGCAGAAGCGGAGGCCTCCACCCACATAATCATTTCCTTTTCACTTGTTGATAGCTCACCCTTCCTCGAATGTGTTACTCTGCGTGTGCGCTGCCGCACCCCTTCTCCCACCAGCCCCTGCCCTTTATCCACCTGACAGTCCTCATTCTTCAGCACTCAGTCCAAATGTCCATTTTGCTGGGAAACTTGTCTTGATGTTCCCCCATCCCCACCCCATGAGGGATAGGACACTCTGTACCCACACATCCCATGTGCCCCAGCCCCCATTTAGCAGAGGGTTTCCTGGCCCAGGGGCCACAATGAGCCTATAAGCAACTCAAGAATAAGAACTTTTGGGGCGCCTGGATGGCTCAGTGGTTGAGCGTTTGTTCCTTTCGGCTCAGGTCATGACCTCATAGTTCAGGAGTTTGAGACCCGCATCAGGCTGTGCACTGACAGCACAGAGCCTGCTTGGGATTCTCCCTCCCCCTCTCTGTCCCTCCCCGGGGTATATATACACTCTCTCTCAAAATAAAGAAATAAAGTTAAAAAA